CTGGCAGGAGCTCTGGTGTGATGGGATCAGACACTGCCATCTCCAATAAGATTAGGATGAAAATCTGTCCTAGTTGATAAAAAAAATAGAAAGAGATCATGCAATCTTTCTCTCTCGAGTTTACTAGATCTGTTCCCTTTGATATCTAGAAGAGAAAGAGTACATTTCTAATTTTTTCATGCCATCTCCCATTAACTGCAGTTATCTGCATATTGCTAAAAATAATGAAGAACTTACAAGAGCTTTCTTGTTTGTTTGATCTGCCATTCCTAACCCTCATATGGACTTTAGCACTTTAAACATATATGTTGCATTAAAAAACTTTTGTTGGATCAAGTCAAAACAACTTATTAATAGGATATTTATAAACACATCACATTAATTATAAAGCACCTATTTCATAAAACTTCTACTTTTCTTATATTTTGCATATATGAGACAAGTAATTATTTTGGATTGAAATGCTACCAAAGATTTCTTTTTGGTATACTCTGTACAACCTAAATCTTGGAATCACCTTGGCAAACCATTTAAAGCATCCAAAGGATTCATGTAAGCAACATCTAGCTGGTTCTCTCTTGAGTTATCCTGAACACATATCCCACATTATGCCTAACTACTACAGGCTCACTACATTACTTTCACTTATTCAGAGACTTCAGCAACTTTCTGCTGCAATCTTTTCCACACCAGTACTCTTCAAAGCATCTCCACAAATCAAGAACATTTCCTATAGATGTTTCATTGCTTTTCTCCCTTCTATAAGTGACAAGACCAAGCATTTGCATATTAAAAATGACCTTATTTCAGTATTGTAAGTCTTAAACATAGTAGCTTGAAGCTACTCTAAGCAACCAGGCACTCATATCCATGACTAAAAACCAAGAGCTGCAATAAGAGATGTTACTTGAAAAGACACCATGCCAGCCTTACCACTTCTCCTCACTTCCCAAAAGAGAAAGCTCCTTCTTATGAATACATCCTTTTATATTTCTTTTGGACCTTTTACCCCTGGTAAGTCTTAAACATAGTAGCTTGAAGCTACTCTAAGCAACCAGGCACTCATATCCATGACTAAAAACCAAGAGCTGCAATAAGAGATGTTACTTGAAAAGACACCATGCCAGCCTTACCACTTCTCCTCACTTCCCAAAAGAGAAAGCTCCTTCTTATGAATACATCCTTTTATATTTCTTTTGGACCTTTTACCCCTGAACTAATGTTCTTT